AAGAGCGGATAATCAAGGAGGGAGGGGGTGAATTTCAGAGCAAAGAGAGCTCTACACCAGGCAGGCAGGCTGGCTTCAGCGTACATAGTTCAGAATGTTAAATGTTCATGCCAACTTGGTTTTCCCCCCTTTCTCTAAACGTTGGTTCAGGGGAAGCCTCTGTGGCTCAGTAGCATAGCCTCTGCTGGGCATGCAGAAGGTCCCGGGTTCAATCCCCGGCATCTCCAGTTAAAAGGACCAGGCAGTAGGTGATGTGAAGGACTTCTGCCTGAGACCCTGGAGAGCCGCTGCCAGTCTAGAGTAGACAATACCGACCTTGGTGGACCAATGCTCTGATTCAGTATAAGGCAGCCTGGTGATCCCCACCCCCCTCAATTATTGCACAAATAATTTTTTTTAATCCAGTAGTGATCAAGAAAACAAAGCTCGAGGTCTGTGTGGATTCTAATAAATCTCTGGGACAAGAGCCAAAAGTTCCTCAGACTTATCCCGTCCCACCTACTGACAGGATGGCAGATCCCTGTGACACACCATACTCTGACCAGAGCACGTTTTTTCTATGTGTCTAACACACTCACACTCACTCTTACACACAGACAGAGCAACTGGCTCATGCAAAGGCAGGAGGCAAGACAGATCACTGGTCGCCTCCTCTGCCTACTGAAGCATGCAGGGTCTGAGGGAGGGGAGGGGACTATTAAGACACCAGATCTAATGGTCTGGAAACAGGGGAAAGCGACGCCTCCCGCACATGTTGAACTTCTGCAGAAAATCCTGCCAGGATTGATGTGACACCCCACACACACACTGTTGCTCCATGTAATATGACAGAGAGAGCAATGGACTTTCCTGCAACTGTGGACTTCCCACTTTTTTGCACCTTTTCCCCGGGCTTTGACTCCGTCTGTCGCGCCTGCCACGGCTCCCACCACAAGGAACTAGCCCTCTTTCCTAGAAATGCTCGCCCCAAGGAGACCCAGACCCAGACCCGAGGCTCCCCGAGCCCAGAAGCGCGCTACGTGCCCGACACCTGTTCCCTTCGTCCCCACGACGCGCAGCACGAGGCGGACGCAGGCCCATTGGACACGAGGATTTCGACCCCCTTCCACTCTGCTGTTCTCGGGGGTCCATCCCGCTGGCGGAAGGGGGGGGGGAGGGAACGAACGCGCTCCCTTCTCGCCCGGGCAACCCATGCGATTCCTGCCCATGTCTCCTCAGGAGCAAGCAAGTCTTCCCCCC